CGGCTTTTTTCTTTTTGCTTATGTGGTGCTGAGGAATCAAACCCAGGGCCTCGAGCATGCAAGGCAAGCGCTCTACCACTGAGCCACCTTCCCAGCCCAATGTGTAAGTCTTTTGAGTATAAAATATTTTCTGTCTTTATTGAGTTTCATTGTACTTGTTTCTAGAAACGTGATGAACGAACCCTGAAGAACACAGATATCAAGGTTGTGGACTTTGGAAGTGCGACATATGATGATGAACACCATAGTACTTTGGTGTCTACACGGCACTACAGAGCTCCAGAGGTCATTTTGGGTCAGTAAACACCAGACGTCCTTATACTGTGATGAAAGAGATTTTATTAGGGTAGGGATGGGGACATGGGAACATAATTTTATCCAAAAATGTGTGGACATTGCTTATAAAAACTTCTAAGTGATACTACTTTTGAAAGATACTCCAAATGGTGGTGAGTTTTGAACAAGTTAATCATGATCATAAAACAGGTTCTGATAGACAAGTGCATCATAATTAAGTGATTTTGAAGTTGGTACCTGTTATCGTGCTGTCACTAAAGCATGGTTCTGGTGAAGTGCTAAGGATGACCAACTTGGGAGTCGATAAAGGCCAAGGGTTAGAGTTTGTCAAAGACAGTGGCAGTATTTCAGATCAGGTATGCTGAAAGTTCTAAATGTGACCAGGCAAGGTAGAGTTTGAATGAATCTGAAATTTAGAATCATTGGCCTTGAGGGAAGGGAATCTGGACATGAGATGAGAAGAGTGTGTTTACAGCCTTCCTGAGGATGAAGGCAGAAGTAGATGAGGGAAAAATATGTAATGAGGTGCTAAAGTAGAGGGCAGGCCTTGGATGTTGGGATTGAATAGGTAAGATGGCAGGAAAGATGGAATTCTAGATAATAGAGGTGATTTTCACTTGGAGGATAATATGCTATAGAAGTTTCAGTCACCTGGGGAAAAGCTGGCATAGGAGATGGGTTAAAGAAGGAAACTTGTCTGAGCCAAAACTCGGTTGTTATATATTCCAATAGTATCTACTGTATTCAAATGAGGGGCATCATAGAAGTGAATAAAAATAATGGTGTGTGTGTGTGTGTTTGTGTGTTTAGCATATGCCTGTAATCTTTGGGAGGCAGAGTAAGGAGGATTGCCACTTTGAGGCCCATTCTGAACTGAACATAGTGAATTCTCTAGTCAGAAGTATTTAATGAAGCTTTTGATTAGTAATGTTTCTAAAAATCACTTAATATTTTCAAGTATGCCCTTTGTTATTTTACTATTATTTATGTCGGTCTTGAGGTTTGAACTCTGGGCCTAGACTCTGTCCCTGAGCTTTTTTTGCTCAAGGCTAGTGAAAGTTGGTTGTGGGGCTTGAACTCAGGGCCTGGGTGCTGTCCTTCAGCTTTTTTGCTCAAGGCTAGTACTCTACCACTTTGTGAGCTACAGTACCACTTCGAGTTTTCTGGTTGTTAATTGGAGATGAGCCTTACAGATTTTCTTGTCTGGGCTGACTTCAAACCATGATCCTTAGATCTCAGCTTCCTGAATAGCTAGGATTACAGCCACTGGTGCCTGGCTCAACTATTTTTTTGGGGGGTGGGGAGGGTGTTTCATGGGATTGAACTCGGCCTGGGTGCTGTCCTACTAGCACTCTACCACTTGAGCCAGAGCTCTACTATCGGCTTTTTCTGCTTATGTGGTGCTGAGGAATCAAACCCAGGGCCTCATGCATGCAAGGCAAGCGCTCTACCACTGAGCCACCTTCCCAGCCCAACTATTTAATTTTTAAAGACTAAAATATCTGTATAATTTACCCTTCTCTTCCAATTGAGTATAGGTTTAAGAACATTAAGTGTTTTGTTCTTTCCTGTCTATAGACAATCATGAGCACAGGTTTCAGTAGCAGTGCTCCCCATCATGACAGCAGTTTAGAGATTATACTGGAAAATATTGTCACCCTTTTACTTTTTATATAAGGTGTTCCACTTCAAGTTAAAAAATACTGTCCTGAGCCGGGCGCTGGTGGCTCACGCCTGTAATCCTAGCTACTCAGGAGGCTGAGATCTGAGGATCATAAGTTGAAGCCAGCCTGTGCAGATAAGTCTGTGAGCTCATATCTTCATTAACTACCAAAAAAGCTGGAAGGAAGGTTTCATATGTTAGCATTTTAAAAGTTGCAATATAATTAATGTATTTAATATTTGTTATTGAACAGCTTTAGGTTGGTCTCAGCCTTGCGATGTTTGGAGCATTGGTTGCATTCTTATTGAATATTACCTTGGGTTCACAGTCTTTCAGGTATGTATCTAAGCCATTTCATGTAATAATTTATAATGAATTTTAAATGTTTAAAGGCATGTTTGTGTTTTAGACTCCATCCCTATGCTTGAGGTTAAAATTTACGCATATCCCAAAATGGTCATCCTTCTCTGGAATCACAGTTCAGTGAAATTCTACTGTTAATAAGTAGACACAGCTCATTTTGTATGATCGTGGTTCATGCATGCCCCTATCTTTATTATAGACCTTCATAAGTCAGTAGTTTTACTGTAGCAGGTTTTAACTCAGCATTTGTAATGTTGAATCATTTCTTTTTGTAGAAGAATTCAGAAGCAACAAGTTTATTTTACTCTTTAAAAATTCACTATCTGTGATGCTTAAGCATTTCTAGGTTGGAAGTTGTTACCAATAGTACCTGGAAGTCCTCCAAAAGACTTGAAAACTGGTTACACTATACGGTTGTGTTTGTTGTAATGGAACAATGTAGCAAGTTGTTAGGAGCACCCAGAGGAGGTTGGTAATTGTTTCCTTACAGGAGAAATCACTGAGTACTATTACATAGGGAATTTCTATACAGCTGGTCATAAAACTGGGGTGTCTTAAGTGTGTCGGGAAGAAGGAGTAGTAGAAATGTAGAGGAGCAGAGATACAGGATCTAGTCAGGGAAGTTTGGTGTTAGAGTATTTATGGCAATGTAACTTGTATACCTTTGAAAGATACTTGTTTTTATCCACAAAGTTAGTGCTTTCAAAATACATACTGGCTAGAAATATATTTTTCCATTTAGGAAAAGACACTAAAATTATTTGGCAAAACAAAAAATAGCCAAACACCCCCACCACACACACACACACGAAGTTTCACCTATATCTGGATTTGAAAAGTCTTGAAAGCCTTAGGTAGTGCATTGAAAAAAGAGAATGGTGTTTTCATTGTGGTACCCCAGTGTTCAGTTTTGCTTTGTTTGAGAGAGTTGTGGAGATCCCAGCCTGATCTTTTGTGTTGGCTTGAAATTATAGCAATTTAAGGGTAGGATTTTAATTCTATACTGTGAATAAAAAGTTGTAGACTTAAGAAACTTAAGAAGTAAAGCTAGCCAGGTCTGGCAGTACAGACCTGTAATCCCATCATTTGAGAGGTTGAGGCAGAAGGATCACAAGTTGGTGGACTATGTAGGAAGATCCTGTCTCTCAAAACAAAAACAAAAATGGTGAAGCTAGTGATAAACCATTAATGTTTTGAAAGCAGTGTGCATTTGATAGATGTAAAAAGTACTATACACAGATTCTCTCTGGACAAGATTTGCACTCAGTTATGACTTCAAAAAAACATGCCTGATGGCCTGTTCTGGTTTTTTTTGTTGGTCATGGTGCTTGAACTCTGGGTTTGGGCGCTATCCCTCAGCTCTTCAGCTCAAGGTGAGCCCTCTACTGCTTAAGCCACAGTGCCACTTTGGTTTTCTAGTGGTTTATTGGAGATACAAGTCTCATAAACTTTTCTGCCTGAGCTAGCTTTGAATTGTGATCCTCAGATCTCAGCCTCCTGAGTAGCTAGGATTACAGGTGTGAGCCACCAGTGCCTGGCTTCAGTTTTTGTTTAAGAGACTGGGTAGAAATCATTTGAGCAGCTCTGCTTAAAATGCTTTAACTATCTGGCCATTTAGAGGACATTTGCTGGCTCTGCTCCAGAAGTATGGCATTCTTAGCCGTATGTTGGCTTCTCTTCTACTCTAGCCAGTGTGTGTTACTGTGTAGTTATTAGAATATGAGCCTTGGAGTTCACTGCTCAGCCTTCCTCACTTATGAACTCTTCACTTTGAGCTAGTATCTTAACCTTTTGTGAGAATTAATGAGACTTTTTACTATCTGGTATTATTAATTGTAAATAAGTGGACTTCTGAGGTCATTCCTTAAAACAGTTCAAGATATAAAAATGAAAGCACCTGTTCAGTTTTCCATTAAATCATATTAATGGGGTTGGGAATGTGGCTTAGTGGTAGAGTGCTTGCCTAACATGCATGAAGCCCTGGGTTCATTTCCTCAGTAACATATAAACAGTAAAGGCTGGAAGCAGTGCTATGGCTCTGGTGGTAGAGTGCTAGCCTTGAACAAAAGAAGCTTAGGGATAAGTCCCAGGCCCAGAGTTAAAGCCCCAGGACTGGCAAAATAAGTTGTTTAGATGCTGCTCGGACTTCACTAATCCATCTCAGACTAGACAACACAGCACACTGAGTATTTAATCTTTGAAGAATTGTGTAGTGTGAATTTAGATGAGTCCTTTTATATCAGCATAATCTTTTTTTTACACTTTATTATCTTTAAGTAGTTGTACAAAGAAGTTTATACAAACAGTATAACAGCATAACATTCCTGTGTTCACTTTTTTAATGTGTGTAGGGAAATGGAAAGTACTGAATTTTTTTTTTTTAATTTTTAGACTCATGACAGTAAAGAACATCTGGCAATGATGGAACGGATTTTGGGACCCATACCAACACACATGATTCAGAAAACAAGGTATGTTTCAAGATTAAATACCTTGGTTGGGCTGGGCAACAGTAGCTCAAGCTTGCAGTCCTAGCTACTCAGGAGACTGACATCTGAAGATTGTAGTTTGAAGCCAGCCTGAGCAGGAAAGTTGGTAAGACTCTTAGTTCTGATTAACCACAAAAAGCTGGAAGTGGAGCTGTGACTAGCCTTGAGAAAACAAAACAAAACAAAAAACTCAAGTGCCCAGGCTTGAGTTCAAGCCTCAGAATTGATACAAAAATAAATACCTTGGTAGGGTTTGGATAGTGGCCACGTTTTAAACTACAGGTAACAACAGGGGCTTTAGATTTTGCAAAACAAAAACCAAAAAACACAAATTGTCTATACTAGTGATAACTAATTTATAAATACATCTTACTCCTTCCTAAAAAGACGTTTTATGATGATGAAAAGTTATTTTTGTTTTTTTATATTTGAGTTATGTGTTTTCCTAAATTGATGTAAAAAGAGTACATGGAATTTGAAAAAGTGTATTCTTTGGATCATGAATTGGAATTAACCTGTGTTGCTGACCCAGCTATATGTCCAGCTCCACCCACATGAGTCACCTTGATTACTGTCAAGGCCAGGGCACTGTGGCTTAAACCTTTCAGCTACTTGGGAGGCAGAGATCAGGAGGATTGTGGTTCAAGCAAAAAGTTCACAATACCCAATCTAAACCAGTAAAAAATTGAGCACAAGGTGCTCGTTTGTCATCCCAGCTGAAAGTAAAGCATAAATGGGAGGATTTATGATCCACGCCAGCCTGGCCATAAACATGAGGATTCTATTTGAAAAGTAAAAAGGGCTAGTAAGAGTCTTCGCCTACCAAGCACTCGGCCCTGAGTTCAAACTCCAGTACTGCCATGCAAGACTTCCAGCTTCACTCCAGATAGAGTGGAATCAAAATTTATAGGAATAGGTCCAGGAGTCTCTGGGGTTTCTTTGTTTGCTTGTCTTTTGTTTATCATTTTGGCTTCAACAACAACAGAGAAGAGTTCTGTCCGAGTTACATAGGCTGGAAGTCCAAACAGTCCAAACAAGGCCATGTTCTCTTTGAAGGCACAGAAGGAAAGGCTTAGGAGAAATTGTTCCTTGCTACCTCTCATCTTTGGTGGTTTCTGACCATCTTGGAGATTCTGAAGACAGAGGTCTTTGTCTTCACACGGCCTTCTCCCTCATGTGTTTTTGTCCCTGTGTCTAAATTTCCCTGTTGTCATCGTCCTCAGAAAGCTGGTTGTGCTGGAGTTAGGGCCAAACCTAACTCAATATGAATTCATCTTAACCTCGTCCAAATAAGGTGCTGGGTGAATGTGAATTGTAATGGACATAATCTCGTCCTTACCTATTTCCTGCTTTGTGCCATGCAGCAATAAGGGATTGTTTTTTTTGTTGCCTGCAGCAGTTATTTTTTTGCCCCCAGCCTAGTTTTTTGCTGTTTATTTTGAAGATGGGAGTCTCAGACTTTTGACTGATCTCAAACTAATCCTCTAGGTCTCCCTGAGGAGTTAGGATTGCAGGCGTAAGTTAACTGGTTTTACATATGGTAATTGGGAACAATTTTAGTTCATATAGTAAAACCTAGAGAAGACAAAACAAGATACTATATATAGTGTCATATATAATTGTTGCAGGGGTTTCAAAAATCATAAACAGGTGTATATGTTCTGTACTTTTAGTGGTGGTTATGCATTCACCTGTCCCCTGGTGGATCCAAGAAGCAGGTCTTTTGTTTGTTTACTAATCCAGACTTTTTTTTTCTCCTTGTAGAAAACGCAAGTATTTTCACCATAACCAGCTTGATTGGGATGAGCACAGTTCTGCTGGGAGATACGTTAGGAGGCGCTGCAAACCATTAAAGGTAAAGAATGACAAAATTGAAAACTAAGAACAGGGCTGGGATGTGGTTGAGTGGTAGAGTGCCTACCTAGCATGCACGAAGGCCCTGGGTTCAATTCCTCAGTACCACATAAACAGAAAAGGCCAAGAAGAGATGCTGTAGTAAAGTGCTATCCTTGAGCAAAAGAATTTTGCTCAGGGACAGTGCCTAGGCCCTGAGTCCAAGCCCCAGGACTGCCCCCCCCAAAAAAAATTAAGAACAATAATGTCTTCACTATCAGCAGTATCTTGTTTAACAAAGCATTCTCCTCTTCACCCAGGAGTTTATGCTCTGTCATGATGAAGAACACGAGAAGTTATTTGACCTGGTTCGAAGAATGTTGGAATATGAACCAACCAAAAGAATTACCTTGGATGAAGCCTTGCAGCACCCTTTCTTTGACTTATTAAAAAAGAAATGAAATGGAAATTGGTGGTCTTACTATATACTTCTCTAGAAGAAATTACTTTAAGACTGTGTCAGTCAATTATGCATTCTAATATTTTTGTAAACATTAAATTATTTTGTACAGTTAAGTGTAAATACTGTATGTTTTGTATCAATAGTATAATTACCTTGTTAAGCAAGTATGATCTTGATAATGAATGAAATGAAGTTAAAATTAATTTTCCTTTTTGACATTAGTTACTATTTTTAAAGGCCTTTGGTAAATCCTTTGTGTCCAATGATAAATGTGATTGATTGATCTTGTCTTTTGTACATGGAGGTCAACTCTGAAGTGATTTTTTTTTTCCAAGTAAAAAAGAAATCTTGGCTACTTAAATCCTTAAGTGAATATTCTTTTTTTATCGTCAGATTTGGGACTTAAGAAGTTTTGTGTGTGATTGTTGGACAGCTAGGAGTATTGCTAATTCTAGATAGGCAAACTGTAGAAACCAAACACATAGGAATGCTGGTTGTGGTTTTCTGAGCTGGTAAATATTTCTACCCGGCATCTGAATACTTATCATAGTCTTTTGTTCTTTTACTCAACACTGAAATGCTGCTGTTTTATGGAAAATAGATAAAGGTAGAAAACAACAAACCAATAAGCAAAAATGTTCAATTAATCACAGAAATTTCTGCAGGTTTCTTTTCTCAGTGTGTGTTCTTCTGTTCTCCCCAAAAGTATGGACTGACACAGGCATGAGCTGCTTAGTAATAAGCATCAATGCTTTTATAGACCGCTGTGTAAACAGTCACTTCCCTTGATAAGGACTTGGCATTATTAAAACCTAAACCTCGGGCTGAGGGGTGCATTGCCTGCCTAGGCTTCTCCAGGCACTGGGTTCCAACTCAGCCCTGCAGAAACAAGACCTAAAGTTGACTCTCAACATCCTTTTGGAAAATGCAACTTTCCACTTAGTATTTAGCTTTTAGTGAAATCGTATATGGCATTACTGAACAACTGGTCGTGAGACAAACCGTAACCTCATTTTTCCTTTCCTTTGGATTCTTTTGCTGTATTTTAGGTTGATAACTCTTTTGTAGGATTTGATCTGCTTTGACTCTCATTCAGTATATTTTTCACCTCAAATAGTGTAATTTTAACCTAGAATTTTGTAGGTTTTAAAAAACATTCCACATTTCTACTACTGTCTTTCTTTGACATATGGAATACAATAGTCTTTATACCCTTGTCTATACCAGTTTTATTACTGCTGTTTATGGTTATTGGTTTTGTGGGGAGTTTTTTGTTGGTCATTGGGCTGGAACTCTAGGTCTGGGTGCTGTACCTCAGCTCTCAGCTCAAGTTGAGTGCTCTACCTCTACCTCTTGAGCCACAGGGCCACTTCCAGTTTTCTGGTGGATATTGGAGATGAGTCTCATGGATGTTCCTGCCCAGGCTGGCTTTGAATTATGATCCTCAGATCTCAGCCTCCTAAGTAGCTAGGATTACATGTGTGAGCCACCTGCACCTATGGTTGTTTTTTCAATGGTGCTGAGGTTTGAACTCAGCCTTGCACTTGTTAAGCAAGCTCTCTACCACTTGAGCCAAGTCTCCAGCCCCTTTTTTTTTGCCTTATTTTTCAAACAGGTCTTGCACTTTTTTTTTTTAACCTAAGTTATCCTGGAACAGCAGTCCTCTTGATTTCCATCTCTGAGCAGTTGGAATTACAAGAATGAGCAACTGTGTTAACCACTCCACCTCTGGGTTGGTTCTGTGTTCTATTGTGGCTCCTATTTTGTTGTTGATTTGCATTCCTGATAATTTCGCCTTTCGTTGTTTGTCTTGTTGAGTGTGGGATAGTTTGTATTCCTGTATGGTTCAGGTCGTTCAGTTGCCTTGTTTCAGGTTTTATATTTTTAAGCTTTGTTAAGACCATAGTGATTTTTAAATTTGCATTTTGTTTTCTATTTCCTCCAATACAGTCAAACCATTTGCTGTGTAAATTACCAGTATTTCCACCCTGGTCAGGAGGAACCCTCCCCGCCCCCCATGCCTTGTGAACATGGGGTTTGCTTGCACTCAAGATCAGCTGTGCTGGGTGATCCCTTCCCATCTGTCCTCCCTTCTTCCCCATGTGCTGGACGGGACTGGGACGAAGGGTCACAGGCCCTTGCAGGCCTCTTTCTCAGGCCACGCAGCTCTCTGCTGTAGGTTTCTCTACCAGGCCCTTCCTGAATGGTGGCCTGTGAAGTCTCCGGAGGGGGAAGAGCCATTCTTGAAGGTCACTTCATCATCCAAGGATCAGTGGCCTTTTTCATTGCCTAACGTTCAGTGTTCAGTGTCACAAGTACCTACCATTTGTACATGTCTCACTGTCCAGTTAGTACCTGAATTTAAGAACTGAGAACAGACTGAGCTACCACTGGGACTGGAGCTGGGCTAGAATGAAGACAGGTGGGTTTTCCTGTGCAACAATTTACACATGCAATTATAAAGTTCATTACTTGAAACCTGATAGCTTCATCCAAGCTTTTTCATTTGTGCTGGAAACACTTGTGAAATGGATCACATGCTTCTTGACCAGCTCATTGAACCTGGTAAGACCTCTGTCAGTGCTCCTTTGTGACGCTGTCATCACTTTAGAGAATAATCTGTTTTGTAAGATATTTTGGAATGCCCCTAAGCACTCTGCAGGGACCAGGCTGGGTTTGTTGTATATTCTGTTAATGTCTGTAGCTCTCTGCATCACAGCTCTCCCTCTCCCTACAGATCACTCTTCCTTTAGCTACCTGTGCAGGTGAGGGGCAGGAGACAGCCAGAGCTTGTACGTAGGGGTCCCTTGTGCCTGTCTGGCAAGAGTGTAACACATGAGAACTAGGTCCTACATGCTAGCTCTGCAAGCATGGGGAGTGGCGGCTGGTGTGGGAGAATACTTCCACTTGGTTCCTGGGCCCCTGTGAATTGGGAGCGCTGCATCACAGAAGCCCCTGATGGAGCACATGGTACATTGCAAACAGCCCTGCATCCTCAGGATTGCCACTGAGCTGGTACTCTGCCTGTTCCTTGAGAGGCAGGTCCAGTGTTGGGAGGCTGGCTGCTTTCCTCATTGCAGGATGCACAAGCACCAGCAGATGCTGTCATCTCGGGTCCTCTCCTGCTGCTTTGTTGGAAAGCCGGGCTCTTGGCCTGTATCTGGAGTCCACACCTGCGTAAGATGGAGGTGCTGTGAATGGGAAAGACATGCTCATCCCCGGAATAGCTTCCCACATGAGGGCCAAAGCACTGGCTCTTACTAGTTTCCAAGAAATGCCAGCCCAGTAATAAAGGTGGCCTTCAGAGGCAGCAGCAGCTAGATTAAAGTCGGGAAGCTTTGTGTTGCCATTGACATAGCTGCAGATCCACAATCCCCCCCCCTCCCTCCCCCCTGCTTGTTCACTTCTTTGTGTGTGGGTGTGTACCAGTACTGGGTCTCTTGAACTAGGACCCAGTAGCTCACCCTTACTTTTTTAGTTGAAGGCTGACCTACCTCTTGAGCTATAGCTCTATTCCCAGCTTTTTCAGAGTTAGAGATGAGAGTCTCAGACTTACCTGTTCTGGCTGACTTTGAGTCATGATCCTTAGGTCTCAGTCTCCTGTGCAGCTAGGATTACAGGTGTGAGCCGCCATACCTGCCTCTGTCCTCCACTTTTGCTCTCTGCCCTTTACGCAGGCTGTCCCTGCACTGCTCCATCACTGGGTCTCCCTGGGCCTTGTGGGTTGGCTCTGTGGCAGGTGAGAGTCCATCTTCCACATCCCTCCCTCCCCTCCCCTCCCTCGCCATGGATCTGCACTTGTAGTTCTGGTGAGCAGAACTAGGTTCCCCAGCAGTGTTCTTCCCTGTTCATTTGGTTTCCATGGGGCTAACCCCAACTTCAGCATCCCTGTTGGCTTCCCCTCCTCCAGTTTCACAAAACATCTGTACAATCAGGCTGTACAATCATTCACCCTTTCTAATGTGCTCTTTTTCTGGGACGACCACTGACAACACCGAGTGCTTTGCTTGCTTGCTTGCTTTTAAGATGAGTTGCAGTTGGTAGTAAACATTTTCACATCGGAACACCAACTCTCTCTCATACTATTCTCTCCTTCAAGAAGACAGTTTGGCTCACTCAAATGAGATAAAGTTAAAAGGTAACTTCAGCCCCTGATGAAGCCTTCTGAGGGGAACTGAAGGCAGAAACACCTAGCTGGGACAGTCTGGGCAGAAGGCCTTTGAAAGTGCAAGTGGAAGACTTAAGAAACCTTGACCTGAAGGATTAGGAGCTTGCTGTTCAAAGATCCTAGAGGAAGCTAATCCAGATAGTAAGGTAACAGACAAGGATCAGGAAGGGGTCAGCCAGCTTGGCTTGTTCAATACAGAGAGGCTTCTGGAACACTGAACATTATGAACAGGCGACAAGCAATTTATGTTTATGGTAGACATGAGTACTAATTTGTAACAAGCTGCTGGCCTCTTCCAAGTGGATCAAGTTTGTTTAGCAGATACTTTTCAGATGACTTATTGTGCAAGCAGGAGATTTTATACAGCTCTGGGCCAAGACTATAACCACCTAACTTAGCACCAGTGTAACAAAGTCCACAGCTACAAACTTGCAGAAATGAGAGGCTCCCTTCTCTTTTATTTCAATCCATCCCACCTGGATTCCAGGAGCAGGTGGAATGTATTAAGTCGAGAATCCGCTCAATAGGTTCAAGAGGTAAGTAACCTTGCCACAGAAGTGGCTCAAACCGGTTTGGAAATATGACTTAGTGGTAGAGTGCTTGCTTAGCATGGCCAAGAGGGCCTGGGTTCGACTTCCTTGGTACCATATAAAGTCAATTAAAAGAAAAGATGCACACAGTATTTTACCTAAAAGAATGGTCAGGGTGTTACCCACTTGACAGTTAGCAAGCCTTGGTGGCTTGTTGTTTTCAACAGGAGACCTCCTCCCTGCATCACTCCTGGCAATGAGTTTCCTGTGATCTTTCCTGCCCCCAGCACCGTGGCAGCTTTAATACAGCAACACATTATTTCTGACCTAGTTGTCCCCCCAAGGAGAGAATCAAGTTCGACAAAACTTAAGACTATCGTTCTGTCTTACTGTCTAAAAGCTTTTCCCAGATCAGGGGCCGGGGAGGTGGTGGTGGTGGTGGTGGTGATGGTGGTGGAAAACTTGTGTCTCCAGCGCTCCATGCCTGGCACAACAGAATAAAGGG